GCATCATGCAGTAGTGCTGTAGCAGCACGTCCTGTTAACCCTTTCGTTATTCCATACATTTCTATATTAAGCTTCCCATACTGAAATCAAGTCACGAATGGAAAACCGTACATCATGTATGCTTTTAGGTGATCGAATTGAAAAGGTTTTTCGTTGTGAAACGTGTTATATAGCAATTTTATACTAGGTATGTCAGGTTTTCAGCGACCCTTCACAAAACCGTACAAAATGTATTATTCTTTTACGGTCTATTGATTCGCTGAAATGATCAACCGCAACCGTGATTCGATGAAGGCGAATCACAAATATATCGCAAGCAGCAAAAATGTCGATTGCTTAGTGTCAAATTCGCTGTTCCGCACGGTACTGACCCGTGCCAGTAGTCGGTTGTTGCGGCCCATGATTGATCACGAAGACGAACGGTGGTGCATTTGATGCTCAAGCCTGAGCCCCCGGTGTATCGCGGCACTAATTGCCGCAATCTCAACGCAATGCACTGCTGGAGAGGAACTGACGGACTGTATGCAGGAAAATGTTGGGAATCGTTGCTTTCGGAGTCTTCAATCTGGTGAACAAGGAAAACCGGCTGGCTGGAGGAAGGGAGATCTGGCGCAGCTTCACTTTATGCTCATGCTCTACGTGACTAACTCCAACGTCACGTGCGTGGCGTTCTCGTGTGGTGCTGCCCTTACGACGATTGTTCTGCTTGGTATTTTCTACAGCTCGGTATTTTCCACAGCTCGGTATATGCATACATTCCATGATCCCGTGAAGCGTGTTGTGATCTAGTTGGGAACAGTGGCTATATACACGCCGCGTACTTCCTGGCAGCTTGGATCGCGCTAAAATGGAAGTTCAAGTACTCGCCTACGGCACCGTATGGAATCAACGAGTGTTTCCACGTGTGGAGCTTTACGGATTCGTTGATCGCTAGTATCGCTGTGTTCCAGTAGCTGCAGCTCCTGTTAACTTTATCTACTGCACAGGTATGATCATGCATCCCGTACATGGACAAAATTCAGACGTACAACAAAGGCTTCTCCGACATCATGTCTGCTTCATCGAAGTACAGATTCTATCCTAGTGCATTTCTGTTCATTCTGCTGTCGACACTGGAGCGGTCTGTGACTTTTGCGAAGTGCGTGGTCACGTTCAATGTAGTTTTGCGTGGCAGCATTGGCGGCGACACCACTACGTATATGCTCAGCTCTGCATTGGCTTGGGTACGATCATCACTGGATTCTTCAACTTCTCTGTGGTCGTCGGCTGTGTCCGCTGCCTGTGGTCGTTTCAGCACGTTTTGGTGTTGCCAACGACGACTGCCGCTCGACATTGCTGATGCCTGGTATCGGTCTGCTTGGCGACCCGTGTGGTATTCCACGATCCTGGCTGCCCGTCTACATCTTCGAGATCTCAAACAAAATCTGCGTGGTATAGCTATTTTGCTGCTGGGCTTTGGCTATTGGTAGTTCACTTGGGGATGTGGGATATTTTCGTTATAATGAACTGGAATGGATTTGGCATGCGCTTGCTGGCTGCATTGTCATCGCGTTTGTCACCCCATAACATGTATTCATGTTCCTCGTTGGTTTCGTCCTGATTCTCGGATCACATTTGACTACTGGGTTCCTGACCGTCTTCGTTACTACAAGGCTGCTAGTGGTACGCTGACAAAGACCGGATGTTTATGATTGCTATGGCTCTGCAGGTGTCGAGTGCTGCGATCACCATCCTTTATATCGACAAGCTGGAAAACAAGTCGCTTATGTTCGAAACATTTGTTGCTATCGCGATCTGAGCCGCTGGGCGTCAAAGTAAGCCTGTGCGAGCACGAACTGGGCTCGAAGGAAACCGGGGGACTTGTTAACAAGCTTCTCGAGGATGCTCATGCCCTTGGCAACCGCATCTGAGCTGTCATCGGAGCCTTGCTTAGACGTATCCCCTTGCAAGAATTCTGTGGCCACTTTCACAGGAAAAATCGGGTTAAGCAGACTCATCGTATCGTGGGTGGAGACGTCAGGTCCCTCGATAGCCTCCTTAAGCTTGTCCATATGGACCTGCACGGTTTGTTGCAGCAGCTCGACTTGTCTGGGTCTGTCACGGTCTTTCTCCCAGCTGAGTAACGCTTGGAGGAACGCAAAGCTGGCACTGGCTCCCAGGGATTCCTGAATAACACTAAGGAATTCCATTTGTTGAGAAGCGTCTTCAAGTTGTCCAAGCTTGATCTGACAGTAGATCATCCCGTGCAGCGCCATTTCATTGGATTCGTCAAGCTTCAAGGCTTCTTTGTAGGACTCCATGGCTTCTGCGAAGTCTCCAAGTAATGCACGCTGGTAGCCACGCTCGGCACGGAAAGCTCCACTCTCAGGGTTCAGTTGAATGGCGTGCTCTATCAGTCCCAAGCTACACTGCAGGACCTCCGAGTCTCGATCTGATACACGAGCAGTACAGCGCGAGATCTCACAGAAAGCTCTGGGTTGGCTGGTTCGACTCGTTTCAGAGTTTCAAGCAACTCTCGGATACGCTCGGCAGCCTCACGGGCCCGACCGTCACGAGACAAAAGCAGCAGAACCATGATACGCAGCGCCTCAATATCACGAGAATTCTCACTTAATGCTCGCTCCACACTGTCCATACATTGGTCCCAGTTGCCCATTTTGAGCAACACCAAGGCCTTCTCACTCAACGAGTGCTTGAACCATGGGAACTGCACAGTAAGCTCGTCACAGAATTCAAGAGCGCGGGGATACGTCTTCTTTAGGTCAAAATACTTGGTCATACCCAGCACTAACTCACCATCGCGTTATTGAAAGCGTGGTGGGCCATTACGACTGATGCAAAGTCTATTCAATGTCGACTGGAAACTTCTGATTCCTTCCTTCGTGGTCTCGGGGCTTTCTTACTCATAATCCTGTTGATGGATACCTTCACGACGCTAAAGGGACCAAGATCGTGTTGAGTTATATAACCGAACAATGCAGCAAGCACTTGAGATAGCATTGTTTTATGGTGTATATGATGTTGCTGCCGTCTTATAATCTACAATCTGCTTCGCTATTACGACTACTGGCATTTTGAGAATTCGTTTCACCTCGCTTCTTGATAAATGGAGCCTGAGCTTTGTAGATCGACGATCCGCGCTTCAAGTTGCCCGCATGGCTGTAAACACACTGAAGCAAGTAAAATTGATGGAACTTTTGCCAGCAGGTCCAATTAGCTTCTTGACACAAATGCGGCTTTGTTGCGTCCACACAATATGTGCGTTTGCAGAGAGAAACGTGGTGGGTTTCGCAGAAGTCTGTTTTCTGGGTTGGTGATCTGCCCTCGAGGCGACACACCGTGCATTCGCGCATTGACCGACTTCTATTCTTCAACACAACAGAGGATTCTTTCGCAACACACCTGGGTAAGGCAACTGCTGCTGTTGCACTTCCATCCTCGCCGTCGACCCGTTTCTCTTCAGTAACGGTAGCAATATCCGAACCTGCAAACACTAGTCCATCATCCCGCGCTTGCCACTGTTTCCAAGTGCCATCGAACATTTCGCGAATGAGTGCTGCCACAAATCCACGATGTTTGTCGCGGCCACTATCGTTGGGCAATTCGTCTTGCACCATGTTGTGACAAATGTAGGCATTACATCTTGCAATGTCGATCATGGACATAGCGAGTTTTTTGTGCCATTTCTTGAAGGAGTGCCCGTTTGCTATGGAAAATCGACCACGGAGTTGGTCGTGTCGGTCGACCCCTTGCATGGCAGCATTATATTCTCTGACACAGGTTGGTGCTTCAAAGTCCATCCGCTTCTGGCCGATTGTACGCATGACACTACTCGTATCAGAATCGTCTGCGTTTGATACTACATTAACAATAGAGCCATCCATCCAGCTTGCGGCGACAATATGCTTCTCAATACAAACACCCTGCCTCATACTGCCTCTTTCTGTGTCTAGTTTTGGGTCTAGCATGGTGAAGTGTGGGAAATGCTTACTAGACGCTCTCACAGTTCCACAGCCATACAACCCTACAGAGCGTAAGCTCTCCAGCAGGAGACACGAGGTGTAGAAATTGTCGGTATTGACAATTCTTCGCGATCCATTCAACGACTGAGTCACTTCCAGTACATGGCGACGAACATCGGACGACTTCTTGGTCAACTCAGCCAAGCGGTCAATCGCAGATCTCTCCACCACGCCTTCTAAACGATCGTGAAGCTGACTGGAGCAATGCAACTTGAAACTGACTACCAACCAAGAAGTAGAGCAACAGCACATATATAACTTGAAATGATACTTCCCTGTGGGTTTGCGAGGGTTGTAAACAATGACGTGGCGTGCATACTTAGACCGACATGCAATACTTGCTTCATCAACAGCGACATTCCGCCCAACAATAATGTGTCTTA